ACACACACACACACCCGCGCGCGCACACACGCACACACACGCACGCACACACACGCGCGCGCGCACACACACACACGCACACGCACACATACACACACTGGCGCGCGCACACACACACACGCACACACACGCACACGCACACACACACACACACACCCGCTCGCGCACACGCACACACACCCGCGCGAGCACACACACACGCACACACACACGCGCACACGCGCACGCACACACACACACGCGCACACACACGCACACACGCACACACAGTCTGAAATGACTCTGGCAGGTCATACAGCATCCAATTCCATGTCGAAGGAATGCGATATGGGGAGAGGATGGATAGGATAGGATACGATCGATGAAATGATCTTTCCAGCACATAGCGAACGCTAAGGTAAGTGTCCGGGCAAATAGGGCGCGCGTGCCTTGAGCCAAGGGCAGCGGCGCGCAGGCTATTCTCCCGATCCTCTATAAGATCTCCTAAAGAGCTACCCTTAAAGTCCGGAGGGGAGGAGACGGAGAGTAAAGCCGCGCAGCCGCTAGGCTCTAGAAATGCCGCGCGCGCAACTGTTTGCATGAAAAACAGCGCGCGCAGTCTGGCCTACCACCAGACTGAAGGGCGAGATTATTCGCCGGCGAGTTTCCTCGCAAAACTTTTCCACGCACACGCAGGATAGCCCCTTGGATATACAAGGGCTATCGGCCCGGCTAGAGGTGAGCCAAACAGGCTATTCCCCTCCAGGCAAAAGGGTATTATAGCAAAGAGCCTGAACCAATCTGAACAGGCTCGTTGCCAAGCGTGAAAAGCATGGCTCGTTTCCGAGCAGCTAGGAGGGCGCCTCTGTATTAGGCGCCCATGCTGGCAAACTGGACCGCGGGGGCAACAAGGACAGACTAAAACTGATTCGACTTAAGCTTGATTCTGTCCTCGGGGCCACGAAAGGAAACAAACTGCTTCACATCGTACTTCAATGACTGAGTGCCTGACATCACTTCCAAAAGCAGCTCCCGATCGATACTCCCCTCTGTATGCCCATCTGCGGTCATGTCTCTAGTGTCACACCACTGTACGTTATGCACTATACCTATTTCCATGAGCTCACGTATCCAACTGATATGTCCCAGCAAAGTCCGTTCTGTCGGCATCTTCAGATCTTTGCTGGATAGCGATGTGTATACAGACTCAGCGTCTATAGTAAGGGGTACTTTGATAGCTAAGCCTCCAACTTCACGCATGTCTCGTAGTTGTCGTGGAGTAAGTGCTCCTGCCCTGAGCTCGTGGAGAGTGATGAGCGTGGGATAACACTCATCAAGATTGTGCGCAGCTGCAAGTGCCTCAGCGGCATAGCTGGACCTCACCTGCAGTCGGTGTGATTTGCATAGTTCGTCGCAAAACTGAATGACGGATTTGCCTTGAGGCGAGTTTCCTCGCCGTAATACGTTAGCCCCACGAATGCAGTAGCCCTTGGTTTCATCGTCCTCCTCCCCAGTGAGCTTCCGATGCCACGAATCACTGTGTATGTCTACTTCATTCGTCGGTTTCATCCGAAGGAAGGTGATGCGTTTCGGGCTGCTGATCAGCTTTCGCGTCACAGCATGCAGTCGTCTGACTTGTAAGTTAGTGGGCTCTTGGATCTTCTGGAGAGAGACCACATGCACCATAAGCCAGACTTGAGTTAGGAGGGCATAGGCGAGAGCTCCTCGCAGGCTAACGAACATTTCGGTGATGAGTTTGGTAGCTTTGGCGTCTGCCGCCGCTCCCGTAAGTTCAGGGTGTGTGATAGGACGTAGTTGTTTAATGTCCTCGTCCTGGTCCATGGTCACATCCCCTGGTTCATTCTTCGTGTAGCGAACGGCGCAGTTCGTGTAAAAATGTTTGTTGAGCTTGCATTGACCAAACACCTTTTCGACGCGTTGTACATAGTCATCTACGTTTTTCTCTAGGCCTGTCATATTGATGTCGTCGACATGTTTTGCCGTTAACAGATCCTGACTGAATTCAAACTCAGGATCGTAACTTGTCGGTGTAAGGCCTATAGCTCGTGTAGTCGTACGAAGCTCGAGGGAGAACGCTCTTGGAACGCCCTTTGTACCCGTTCCTGGCTTGAGGCACCTGAGGCAGTGTCGGTTTTCATCGTGAGAAGAGAAGCCTGGTAGTGTACGGAGCACCTGTGCACTTCCTGGTGGAAGGGCGAAGCAAACCATGCGAGTTTCCTCGCCGGTGGCATGAGCAAGTTCCTCATAGGTCAGTCCTTTGAGGAACGCTTTGCCGATGTCCATACATGCTAAGATCCATTCTGGATGACATGCCGCCTCACTTGCCAGGAGCCTCTGGGACTGTCTTCGAGCAGTTCCTGAGGAGGTTTCTACATCGAAAGTCTCCGTGTCCATGAATCCGCGGAGGACAAGTCTGAGACGGATGGTTTTTACATTCTCGGTGCCTACCTTCACAAACTTCCACTTGTATACATATCTGGATGTCATGATGTTGGAAGCTTTAGATAGGTCGTACACCTCAAAGCATCGGTTGTCAAGCCAGATCTTGAGTTCGGTGTACAAGGCTTCGCTAACCTCTTTAGGATGTGCTGATACATCGGCGTTGGTAAGTAGGTCGTCTTCCTTGACTACCACAGCACGTTTAGCAGCCGATGATACATATACTCTCATCGTTGCGACCATGTCTGATTCAAGCTGTGCAAGTTGGGTCTGATCGAACACTGCCTTTGACATTTCTGGCGCGATACATAGCTCAACAGAGGGACCATGTTCATCACTGTCAAGAGAATAGCCCTCGCCAGGTGTAGTCGAGCATAGAGAGATAAGACAGGGCTCTTCTAATTCAGGCCCGTCTCCGAGCATCTCCGACACTACGGTATCTTCATCGTCCACGGATGCTGAGACCAAGACGCATTGGTCGGTTAGCATGGTTGTTGGGACGCAGTAGAGATAGTCGTCGATAACCGTTGTGGGATGAAGGTCCATACGTAGTTCATCGTGCCACTCCTCCATCATCATAGCCTCGATGTCGTGTTCCTCGCTTTCTTCGTAGATTGTAGACAGGCGACCTTCACTTGGTGATGAAACACCTGGGGTGTCTGGAGGAGGCCTGTCTCCGGGCTGGTCGTGTTCTCCGGACGTTGTGCCCCGGTGCTGATACTTGGCAAGGTCGTCATGAAATCCTAGGGAAGGAACGTGTGACGTCAGGCACTGGATGAGTCTGGAGTGAGTGCTACCAGTGATTTGAGAAATGTTCAGGTCGGTGCCCACGCACTCATAATAGTGGAAGGCTGGGTTAACATCGCTGTCGTAGTGGATCAGTGTAGACCCGGCGGCGTACCTTACTGCAGGTAGATTGGACACGCCCTTGGCCAATCTCACGGCTACTACACGTTCAACTCGGAGATAATTTCGCACGAGATACTGCAGTGCAAGGTGCACGCGCGGGTGAAAGTTGTTGTCGTCGGAAAGATGGAGGTTTCCCTTGTATTCTGGAATATAGCCAAAGACTTTGGCAGGCTTCCCTGCACCATGGTGCGCCACATATGTAAGGGCGGTTTGCGTGGCCATGTTGCCCATGCCAAGTTCCCTGGTAAGAAGGCACTCAATGTATAGCGTGTGGCGAGCATCAGGGTACATTACAACTACCTCACGCGATCCTGCCTTGACGACGACGCGTCCTCGTTCAGGCACGTTGCGGATCACAGGAAACGGGCCGTTCCAGCCTCCACGGTCGTCCTTAGTGGCTGTAGGTCGGTGATAATCGACCAAGTCCCCAGCTGAGCACAGGCGAGCACCATCTGGGGCCGTCTTAGCCCTGAGAGCACGATTTGTCTTAGCTACCGCCGTGGCTTGAGTAATTGCTTCCAGGCTAACTTCCCTCGCACGGCGTTCTCGTTCGTGGCCTGACGTCTCGGGCCCCTTAGGGAAGTCGAGGGTGTCGAGGTCAGGAAGAAAAGAGGGCTGTCGCCCAGCGCGTGCTTGGCACGGCGATGCTCCGTTGCAAAACGTGAAAGCGTTGGTGACGAAGATGCCTTCAGCCAATACTCTAGTAAATACAACAGGGATGTTGTGTCTGTTCGACTCTTCCTCAATCATATGGAGAGTGCCCCTAAGAATGCCGTTGCGTGACTCGATCGAGGTCGCGCGTTGACCAGGCGCTCTGATACGAAGTGTCGTACCTTTGTTCGCCACCATGGCCTTGGCAGTTTCATTGTTGAGGGCACCTTCTCCATCTGAATGCAAGACTTTGAAGGGTCCATGATAGGCAATCCAGCAGTAGTGGTAGGCGTCGAGTATAATGTCACGTTCTCTATCAGGAATATCTTGGCCTGCTGCCAGGCGGATACATCGGTCCATAATATGAAATATGGTCAGTTTCTTGTAAAACATGAGATCCACTTCGCCTTCGCCAAGCCAATTTCCAGGAAGGCTTACGGAAGGTAGTGTAGAATTACCTGGACGTTCCCATGCTCTACATTCCCGACATGTGTCACAGATTTCGTTGATCATATTTAATCGCACGCT